GTACGCTAGTACTACCTCACTGTAAAACAGATTATCGACATTCCTCCAGTACATAGCCAGGAACGCATATTTACATGAATATATATGACAAGTACTTAGCACTTGATTCAGTTAGCCGCTGCAAAAATCCTAATTTGAAATGATTAATGTGTTATATTGATTATATTGATTGACTGTATTTTTTGATTAAATATTTTTTTTATCTATATATTGTAAAGCGTCAGGTTTTAATGGCGTATTCTATATACATGTAGATACAACTATTGTATCAAAAGTCAAGTAAAATAATTAAGAATGTCATTATCAACTGTATCTTTTACGTGATACATGTTTCATGGCAAATAAACATTCAGAAAGGCAGATAGAAAGTTCAAATATATATATTACATTGGATTATGTCATCTCACGTACAGTATCCTGAGCATCCTCGATGATGTCGTCTCACGTACAAGGTCCCTATCATCCTCACGGCTGTCGTCTCACGTACAAGGTCCCTATCATCCTCACGGCTGTCGTCTCACGTACAGTGTCCTGATCATCCCCACGGCTGTCGTCTCATGTACAGTATCCTGAGCATCCTCAAAGATGTCGTCTTAATTACAGGATCCTGATCATCCTCAATGATGTCGTCTCAATTACAGGATCCTGAGCATCCTCACGGCTGTCGTCTCACGTACAGGGTCACTATCATCCTCACGGCTGTCGTCTCACCTAAAGGGTCCCTGTCATCCTCACGGCTGTCGTCTCACGTACAGGGTCCCTGTCATCCTCCATGATGTCGTCTCACGTACAGGGTCACTATCATCCTCACGGCTGTCGTCTCACGTACAGGGTCACTATCATCCTCACGGCTGTTGTCTCAGTTACAGGGTCCCTGTCATCCTCCATGATGTCGTCTTAATTACAGTATCCTGAGCATCCTCACTGATGTCGTCTTAATTACAGGATCCTGATCATCCTCGATGATGTCGTCTCAATTACAGGATCCTGAGCATCCTCGCGGCTGTCGTCTCACGTACAGGGTCACTATCATCCTCACGGCCGTTGTCTCAGTTACAGGGTCCCTGTCATCCTCCATGATGGCGTCTTAATTACAGTATCCTGAGCATCCTCACTGATGTCGTCTTAATGCCAGGATCCTGATCATCCTCAATGATGTTGTCTTAATTACAGAATCCTGATCATCCGTACAGGGTCCCTGTCATCCTCACGGCTGTCGTCTCACGTACAGGGTCCCTGTCATCCTCACGGCTGTCGTCTCACGGACAGGGTCACTATCATCCTCACGGCCGTTGTCTCAGTTACAGGGTCCCTGTCATCCTCCATGATGGCGTCTTAATTACAGTATCCTGAGCATCCTCACTGATGTCGTCTTAATACCAGGATCCTGACCATCCTCAATGATGTCGTCTTAATAACAGGTTCCTGATAATCCTCACTGATGTCGTCTTAATGCCAGGATCCTGATCATCCTCAATGATCTCGTCTTAATAACAGGATCCTGATCATCCTCACTGATGTCGTCTAAATTCCAGGATCCTGATCATCCTCAATGATGTCTTCTTAATAACAGGATCCTGATCATCCTCACTGATGTCGTCTTAATGCCAGGATCCTGATCATCCTCAATGATATCGTCTTAATTACAGAATCCTGATCATCCGTACAGGGTCCCTGTCATCCTCCATGATGGCGTCTTAATTACAGTATCCTGAGCATCCTCACTGATGTCGTCTTAATAACAGGATCCTGATCATCCTCAATGATGGCGTCTTAATAACAGGATCCTGATCATCCTCACTGATGTCGTCTAAATTCCAGGATCCTGATCATCCTCAATGATCTCGTCTTAATAACAGGATCCTGATCATCCTCACTGATGTCGTCTAAATTCCAGGATCCTGATCATCCTCAATGATGTTGTCTTAATTACAGAATCCTGATCAGCCTCAATGATGTCGTCTTAATTACAGGATCCGGATCATCCTCAATGATGTCGTATAAATTACAGGATCCTGATCATCCTTAATGATGTCGTCTCAATTACAGGATCCTGAGCATCCTCGCGGCTGTCGTCTCACGTACAGGGCCACTATCATCCTCACGGCTGTCGTCTTAACTACAGGATCCTGATCATCCTCAAAGATGTCGTCTTAATTACAGGATCCCGATCATCCTCAATGATGTCGTCTCAATTACAGGATCCTGAGCACCCTCACGGCTGTCGTCTCACGTACAGGGCCACTATCATCCTCACGGCTGTCGTCTCAATTACAGGGTCCCTGTCATCCTCCATGATGTCGTCTCACGTACAGGGTCACTATCATCCTCACGGCTGTCGTCTCAATTACAGGGTCCCTGTCATCCTCCATGATGTCGTCTCACGTACATGGTCACTATCATCCTCACGGCTGTCGTCTCAATTACAGGGTCCCTGTCATCCTCCATGATGTCGTCTCACGTACATGGTCACTATCATCCTCACGGCTGTTGCCTCAGTTACAGGGTCCCTGTCATCCTCCATGATGTCGTCTTAATTACAGGATCCTACTCATCCTCAATGATGTCGTCTTAATAACAGTTTCCTGATCATCCTCACTGATGTCGTCTGAATTACAGGATCCTGATCATCCTTAATGATGTCGTCTCAATTACAGGATCCTGAGCATCCTCACGGCTGTCGTCTCACGTACAGGGCCACTATCATCCTCACGGCTGTCGTCTTAATTACAGGATCCTACTCATCCTCAATGATGTCGTCTTAATAACAGTTTCCTGATCATCCTCACTGATGTCGTCTTAATGCCAGGATCCTGATCATCCTCAATGATGTCGTCTTAATTACAGGATCCTGATCATCCTCACGGCTGTCGTCTTAATTACAGGATCCTGATCATCCTCAATGATGTCCTCTTAATTACAGGATCCTGATCATCCTCAATGATGTCGTCTTAATTACAGAATCCTGATCATCCTCAATGATGTCGTCTTAATTACAGGATCCTGATCATCCTCAATGATGTCGTCTTAATTACAGGATCCTGATCATCCTCAATGATGTTCTTGTTAATTACAGGATCCTGATCATCCTCAATGATGTCGTCTTAATTACATGATCCTGATCATCCTCAATGATGTTGTCTTAATTACAGGATCCTAATCATCCTCAATGATGTCGTCTTAATTACAGGATCCTGATCATCCTCAATGATGTCGTCTTAATTTGTCCTCTCACGTACAGGTTCCTGATCATCCTCAATGATGTCGCCTCCCTTTGAGGATCTTAACCATTCTTACTGCTATTAGTCATAGTTTAATGATCATTTTAGAGCTATCGATGTACGATGTACTTGAAATCCAGCACATTATCCAGCGATATGGTTTTTTCGCCGATATTCCTTCAACTATATATTGTTTCGTTTAGGTAAATTGTTTTCTTCAATAATGTACATGTAACACCACTTTGCACTTGGTACCGATTTTGATAAATTTGTGTTTAAGATTTTTCGATTATAAACATCTTCTGTTGGTGAATGTAATTAAACAAAATCTAGATGTATAACAAAGTGAGTTATTATATACATGATCACCATACGTTTACTTCCCTTTATGCATGATTCAATTTTAAATGTGGCCCGAGAAACCTATATATCGAATATAATGTGTCTGACACGCCCAGGGTACCAACTTCATCATGAATTTAATTTAAAAACGTCTCCATCATAAAAAAAGGCTATACTTTACCGCCAATAGGAAATATAATAAAAAAAGTACCCATTGTTTCCGAGACAGTACGATTTAGTTCTCATCTTACAATTGTCTTATACATTTCTAACTTCAGCCAACCTCTCCCACTTATAATTCGTTTTGATGGTGTTTGAGATTTGAAAATAAACCTATTTCTAACCTCTTTTATTTTACAATAGCCAAATCGTCTCATGAATATACCGACGAATGTCATAAAGATGGCTTATAATTATCAGTTCGACTGGTAAATTTAGCACAAGACGCCAACAATAGAAAAAACATAAAATAAAAAGGCCGTTGAACTTTACAAATTGGCAGTATGATGATGGTTTGTAAGACATTTGAAAATCAAATATTTATTTCGTTCACGTACTCAAAAAATGAGAAATCACTGGGCTCGCATTCATGAAACCATTTTTAAGTATTGATGATCCCTGTAGCCGTAAAATACTGTGGTGATGGTTGAATATCTTTTCTTATCGGAAGCTGACGCAAACCAAGCTATGCGTCCAATGTACCAAATTTAGCACCAATCATGCCGTAGCTTGTCAAATAAAGGGCAAGAGTGTAAAGCCAACGGTTATCTACGACACATTTTACTGAAAGATGACGGTAATTATATTTCCTCAATGTTGGCGCATGCTCGTCCAGCACCAAAAACTGGTTACGTCATTTTCTTGTTAACATAAAGAATATATCCAGATCATACAGTTTGTATACGCCCATCAAATTTGACGGAAGTATAATGGTATGGGGTTGTCCGTCCGGCCGTCCGTCCAGCGGAATTTTTTGTTTGTCCGGCAATTTCCTCCTACATTTTTCGACCGATCTCTTTGAAACTTGGTATAAATTATAATCATGATATGAAGTTGTGTCTCCCTTAAAAGAATTGTGATTCAATAATTTTTGCACAAGTTCTTGCCCTTTGTTCATTTCAATATTTGATTTTTTGTGCGGTATTTTTCTATGAATGCAGTGAAACATTTTTACACTCTGTAATATGATCGCATCAGACGAAGAATGAGACTTAAATGACGGACGTAAGGGCATGAAATACGTATATGATTCGTACTTGAAAAATGTGTATAGAGTGCTCAATGAAAAAAATGATATTATGATATTTATCATTGGTTACAGTATTACAAAATAATTGTGGTTTGAAAACACTGTCATTTGGTTTAAAACGTTAATTGATACAGATGAGAAACTAAATTAATCAATAAACCAATTAATTAATTTAACTAACACAAATCTTTGTAATAGAATAAAGCAACTTTATTTAAACATGGTACGAAAGTACTTAGACAACTCTCAAATACTACACATGTCATTGTTTTAAAACATCTGAATATAATTGTATAGCAGAAAAAACACCTTTCCTTTAATCTCGATCACGGAGTGAAGGCATTGTATTCCTCAACAAGCTTCCAGCTGCCTGCTTTTCTGTAATCACTCGTGTACATCCGCCTCAAATCTCAATATAAAACATTTGATTAGACTGAACCTAGAAGTCTATGACTAGTATTAAAGCTGGATCAGTTGGCTTCCACCCAGACCTCATTCCGTCTGTTGATCCTGACCCATGGGGGATTATAACCGGCGAAGTACGCCCTATCTGCGCGATAGAGACTGGAGTCACCAATACTTGTTGTGAGCTTATTAAGCTCATCTAACTTTTCCTGGAAAGTGGGCCTTCCTCCATACTGTCTGTAAATAAATTAAACGAGATGTATATTTTAAGTCTTGGCATCATAAATGAACTTGTAGATACTTAAATTATCTGAATTTATAAAATGTCATCTTCAAGGAATCTGCGGGGAAACAAGCATACATTTAACATTCTGCGTATCAGGAAATGTGCAGTGGTACCTGTTTTCGTGGCTTCTATTTAAACACTACCAGATTGATATGCTCGCAATCTGCGTGTAAATATAAAGTTTCCGAATGAAAATGCACAGGAATCCATTCACAGCTATATAACTACCATTTCTAATGGTACTCGCCCTTAGGTATGTATTCTATAGGCAATTCAACTTGTACATAAATGTTTATTAAGATTGTTCTCAGATAAATTGGTTGCAGATGAAACTTAAAACAGAACTTAATTTTGGGTTTATATTCATAACACTATGTAAGATATTCAAGATTAGGAAATGTTGCTTTCATAGTGTATTGACCTTGAACTCGATCCTTACTTACAATATATTGTTTTCACCGTCGAAAGTATAGACCTTAATGGTTTTGTTACGAGCTCTGTGATTAATTGACTCGGGACCAATCACACATCCTCTCTGAACGTGCCGTGGGGTAGAAACTGATCGATGTGCCATGCATTACACCTCCGAGTAATTCACGACTTCGTTAATAGATCTACTATATCCTTTAAGGAGGTTGCGACGTCATACTAAATTCCCCAATAGTGGGTCACCTTGCAGTTGTTGATAGGCTAGCACGTGTCGCTGAACTGGAGATCTTTACATGATAAGTACAACTACACCAGATGAAGAGCAACTCACCCTTCCTTTTCATATCAGAGAATTTCCCATGTGCCACTGCGATGAATGACAAGTGCTAATGCGGCATTGTCGACATTGATGTGTACAGAATAACGTGCCATACTGCGACAGTTAGGCCTTTTTCCTATTTTAAGTTTAGTTATATTTCTATTCCAAATGTTTATCTTGCCACTTTGTAACGCCTCCCATGACACCTCCCCTATTTTGTCAATTTTCTCTCTCTTTGCCTTGACATACATTGCACGAAAGTCATTAAACTGGTGGTTGTTTTTTTCCTGCTTAAACGTTAAGCACTAGTTAAAAGTGTATCGACACGAAAAACTGTTTTCTATATGTCCCCTGTGACTGGGATGGATACTGTAAAAAGATCGTTAACCCCGATACACTAAAAGCTGTACTTACGGGCACCATAAAAAGGATTACAACGGTCTACCATGACAAACTCTTAATGCACCAATACTGAAGTAGTGTAACGTTTATATTATAACAGTCAAAAAAGGTATACGCCAACTACTCGACTGTTGAATGAAGATTGATTATTTGAATGGGTTATTTAAAAGATGATAGACAACTAAGGCCATATGGTGGGGTGGACAATTTTTAGTGTTAAGACCTAAACTTAATCGTATGTTCTTAAATATGAGTAAAACAGAAATTCTAACATGAACAATCAGATAGCTTTTTTTCTTTCAAGTAAATTGCTGTTTACCTTTGTCCATTACAGGGTAATACTTTTAACACCGTACGAATAGGTCTTTCTTGCACATCGCAGTGCATTACCGTATATTGTATTTAAAACTGAAAAACATGTCGATTAGAAATTTAAGGAACACATGTTTTTAAAATTGTGGCGAACTATTTCGCGTATATCACACCAAAATTATGATTCATTGTTTTATTTGTATAATGACGGTTACAGGGAAGGCTTCTGTTAAGAAAAAATATGCTATTTTTTTTACAAAAATGGCAAAAACATACAAGGCCAAAACAAGCAATAGCAGCAACACATTGGAGTCAACCATACCACCATTATAACACGCGTGGACAAAGTTATGTAAGTAAGCATCATTAGGCATGGATGTTCCAACGTACACAAATATCTTGCTTTGAATATAAAAGGACAATATATATATAATGCAACGATAGTGTAATGAACTGAAATAACGTCTGTAATACCTCAATGCTCATGTTTCCCATGCAAATTATATTGCAATTGTTTCGTTTATGTCTATAAATATAAACAGTGACCTTGATCCTGACTTTGGAATCCTTAAACACATATTCATTGCAGATGTTCTCTTGCTTGACGTTTATGTAATGCTTGATCAAAAACGTTCAGAAATGAAGTTGATTGATCATTGACAAAGAATCGGGACAGGACCGGGCGGGACGGGACGGGACGGGGACGGGGACGGGACGGGACCGGACGGGACGGGACGGATACGGACAACACTATGTCCGCCCACTCGAATACAATCGCGGAGGCATACCACAGCAGCATCACACCAGGATAAAAATATTGGTTTTCCATAGCGGCATCACATAAGCAATCAAAATTGACAGGAAAAGACAACAGCAAACACAGATCAAACAGAAAAGAAAGCTTGCTAGAATCATAACAGAAACGGAGGAGAAACCCGCCATGATGTCTCCCATTGTATCTATAAAAATATCCAGGTCATCAATGATCTAAGAGACAGTGGATAAACGTTAAATGATAAAAGCCAATGAAGAGTTGTAGTCGGAAATAAGTTCATGATTACAACGATATGATTTACTGTGCACATTTGACCTCCTCTGGTACATTTCCCTGGCTATGTGGATTTCTTTTAAAAGCATCCTGTTGCTTAGACATGTTAATTACATATGGAGGGATTGATTGAATTTTACAACAGCTAAAAGGAGGGCTTATATTTTTAGTAACATTAAAGTAACGACCGTCAAAGTAAAGTCTCCAGGATTGTCATATACCTGTAGTAGTGAGGTAATAACTTTTTTTTTATACTTTAGGTGCATGTCGGTATATGGAACTGATTATTCAAGTTCTATAGGATAAATGAGACAAAAATAAATCGTTTTGTTGTTGGAATACAGAACATCTCTGAATGTAAAATTAAAAGATTAGTCAAACAACAGTTTATCACTCAATTTGGACATAAATATGAAGTTTATTTCGCATTAATTATGAAACATGTTTTTTATACTTAGATTGACCACTCTTTGTTTGCCCGGGTATAAGCGCTCAGGTGTTCTTAATGTGAGAAGAAACCAGAGTGTCAATAGGAAAGTCGCTTTACACATATGGATAATAGTATTAGTTATAATTGTTAAGAAAAACCGGCTTACAATCACCATTATACATTAAGCGAGATAATAATCTCAATGTGCACATAAATGAATAAATAAAGGGGGGAGGGGGTGCATTGCATGTTCATAACGTCTGTGTACGAAAACATTACTGCATTAAAGCAAATAGCGTTATATAAGTGTAATCTTTATTAGAAGTTTCTGATGTCGGGCTTGACAACAAGGTTGAAATTCAATTGGCACGTGCTACTTAACGCAATCCTCCGTTTTCGCTGTATTTTAGTCAAATTTTCTTGCATAAAAATAAAAGAATGTGCTAAACAAAACTAGCGATTAATTTTACCTGTAGCTTGTCTTATCATTTTACGGGTTATCCTGTTGATCATTTTTAACCTTTGATTTTTTTTTATTTTTTTTATGGTGATCTAAGTTAATAATATCTTATAAATGACATCGATTTTGTTTTCCTGTATATGTAAGCATGATAATTGGTACATGTAGCATTGTTATATTTCTATCGAAAGTATGCCATGAATGATAGATGCCAGTTGTCAATCTATAAGAGGACGATCTAAGTAGCATATCTACTATATGTTATTCTCTATGAAGTAAACTATGCTACCGTATTTGTGAGTGATGACTAGGTGGTACATTTGGATACCAAAGATCGTCCAACGTTTATATTTTATTTTTGAAAATCATATAATTATACAACGGTTAAAAGATACATTGTAGGTTATTTGAAATTATTATTCTTTAACTTTCTTTCTCAAAAGTGCAGCTTTAATGGTTACTTAACTCGAAGATTATACAACTATTAAAAGGTAGTTTTTTTCAAATTATCATTGTCTACTTTTCTTCCCAAAAAGTGAAGTTTTAATATTTACTCAACTTTAGCAATAAGAGAAAAACACCGCTGTTAGAACAACTAGGCATTTTAATCGATTATAGATTGGAATACAAAGCAATACGAGAGCTGGGGTTTAAAAGAGTTATTTAAACATTAAATAATGTAAAAATCCAACTCACTGCTATCAGGTCTCGATGTGTGTACGTACGTTAGGCCCTACTAATATATTACTCGTCATATACGATCGTAATATTTGGTAAGTATTGCAATGATAGGTAATAGTACGTATATTTACAACACCAGACACGAATAGCGTCTAGAGTTCTGTTGTCATAGGTGTTCGTACAAATGTACAATCGATAATTCATTGCGGGTTTTCCACATGTACAATCCATTTACCAAAGTTCGTATCCAAAACACTACCTTCAGTAAAAGACCACAAACATATTGTGATATTGCTTGTTCACGTCGATTCTTAAGAACCTCTTCAGAACTATAATTCTCAATCTTCTTGTTCTTTACTGTTTCAACCACTGTGTCAGCATTAATCTCACTGCATTAACATGCAATTATTTTGTCTTAAACTCGCGCATTCAGTTGGAAATGTCTTGCTGTCGATAAAAGTGAGTTAAAAGTGAGTGTTATTATCTTAAAGATTACACTGCTAGTTTAAACAAAAATGCAAAGGATCATAATTTCCGCTTGAGACAACATTTAGGTTCACAACCATTAAAATAATGTTAAAAGCAATATATTAAAATTGCCCCGAAATCTACAAATGGCAGCAAAATTGCTGTTCTCAACTACTTAAATTTGGCGTAATTCATGATGACTTATCTACATAATTACCTTCGCACGCTTACCCACCTGACATACGCACGAAACGCAGGCCTGTTGTACTTGTACACGCCATTTCCGGTGGGGTCCGGTGCGTTCGAATCAACCAAGAGGAAGTACTTGGTGTATCTGTACATCCCGTTTACATCCGTGTTCTCGCGCATCGTCAACACAGGGACAGTCATTTCCAAGTTCTGATCTATGGTTACAACGAGACAGCTCTTCAGATACGTGGGAAACCTTATAGCACATCACCAAATAACCCGAGCAGACATAGTAGGAATACATCTAATCGTAGTTGAGGTGTTCAGGTAATGCAGTTACACAAATGCAATTTCTCAATTACTATAAACTCTTTGACCTCTGTACATGTTAACATACTCCTAAAACTACATACATGTGTGCACTGAACAGTTAGCCGAGTGCAGTGATCACATATCAAACAACTTAAATGGTTACAATGATTATCAAAATTCGATTTGCAGAATGCCTAATGTAATCAATATCTTCTGTTAAGAACATTTTTTAAATTGTGCTCTTTAATAACATCGAATGCTTTAATTTCCCGTATCTTTCATTAAAATACCTACGTATATTTTTTGGAACAGCAACGGACTTTTCCTTCTACTCATGATGACCACCAGCATTGTTGACGATGTTTGAATAACTTTGTAGTACATTCATATGTTTATTTGAGTATAATATCTTTTTCATTACATGTATTTAAAAGTATTTTAGTCTCGCGTTTAAATGTGGTGAATAGCTCGCTCAATGCATCATATTCCATGGAAACTCATTTCTGTTCTTTAGTATTTTGATGCGTGTATCATATTTTTTATAGAACATTTTTTACGTATTCAAAATCGTACAGACATGCGTTTTTATCGGTCTATATATATATATTGATCATCTACTGCATGAGTGGAAATATATTCATTTCGTAGCGTATTGACTGGAGCTCCACAGATTAGATCCGGCGAAATAAGATTGACTAGGAAATGGGCATTTATCCCCTGTGGACAGTGGTATAGAACAAAATGTCAGTGGACACCATGTTTCCTTTGTTGAAACACAAGAGTAGATGATATCGGGATATTTCCCCGAGTATTAGCTAGAAAATTACAGTCACTATTTTGGCGTAGAGGATTTTCTTATAGCAGGATATCGGCGATGAATACAGACACATCAACTGCAGACTTTTAATATACATTGTACCGACAAAATTAGAATATCGAATAACCCTTCGATTAATAATGTAGTGAAGCAAGGATCAGATGGATAAAATGGACACTGATATATGAGCTATTACAACAGATACAGTTGTCCCTATTAGGTCTCAGCGCGTACTCCACATCCGTACATGTATCGTCGCTCAGATTACTTACTGTTGCTGTTACCTCCGTCAAAGTAGTTCTTCAAACGGAAGTACATCCTGCGACTGACACTAGGTGTGTATTCGGCCACCGTCTCAGTCGTGGCAATCCATGAAGCGGGCTCATAGTGGCGAAGCTCGTACTTCTGTAGGGAAAACTGGTGTTGTATTATGTTCTTCAATACAGGAGTAGAAACATATGTTTAATGCCGGTGCCAATGCAAGCCGGGTACATAGCTACGTATGAATATGAAACTAGAAATATGTCAGAATGACATGAAAGACACCCCATCATTCTGTATGATCATTTTCCGATTAATCATTGACCAAGCTACAACGTATATATTTCCACCTGTCAATCAAAATGGAAAACAATGACCAGGTGTAAATACATACATGCTGTTTAGGTAGCCATGCCAACACATGGAATTAATAAGAAAGCACGTCGCAAATATAACGTTAGCGCTGGCACGGTCACCTGGCATGGGCAGAACAGGTAATTGGAATATAACGATGTTGTTTTCACAACAATAAGTTTCAGAAAAGATTCAATCTTATATACGGATAAATCTTTTACCTTTTTTTGTTATGGAATACACGTTTCCAAGTAGGTTTTTTTATCGTCTGCAAATCCGACTGAATCGGTCATCGATATCGGCAGAATGTGTACGCTAAAGGCAGTATTTCAAACAGGTCGGACGATGACCGCCAACAGCCGAATTTGCGAGACATAAAGAAAACTGAACAATTGTGATTTTAGCAATTCTCCTTTAAAAATAAAAGATCGGAATCTATTTGGCTGTTTTGAACCCGTTAATGTTTATTTTTCAAGGTCAAACTTTTATCATTACCGATTCAATTCGCATGGATGTCAAATTGTAAATTCCTGCCGGTTAATAGTATCACGCGACCATGACTCTTTGCGGTACACAAAGTTGCTAACTTCGCCACTTTACCCATGTCATTTTGACACATTCCTACTGTCACGATTGAAGAGTTCATCATGATTTTACCCAAGAACGACATTTTAACCACAGAGTGATAAATGCGATGCAATTCTTCGTTATGTTTCCCGATACGTGGTATTTATCAATTCACAACGTGACGTCCTGTTGTCAACATTTTTATTTTGTTTAAAAAATGAAATTGGTGACTTTCAACCAATATCGAGACCTTAGCTTGACATTTATTTTTAATAACTTGGCATTACCATAGCCAGCAAAAACATATATATATTGGTGTATCAAAACCACGACCTATATAGTATACAAAACGATCATAAACATATCTGCAATTATCTAAATGATAAGGACGAAACGAAACTATGGCATAAAAATATGAACAAAAATGATAGCGAAAACAATAGTTGTTTTCGCGAAATGGTAAAAAACCCAAATTCGACGCTGGTGATAAGGAAGGTAGTGTGTTGAGATGGAATCTGCAGCTCAAGTTTTGTCACACGGGCCTAGTTCACGATAACTGTCCCGCTGCACTTTGGTTTTTCCTATATACAGTAATCCCCCATAACTTCCGTTTTGACATAACTGTTTAACAATTTGTCCAAGCCACTTCCGTCGAAAAAGCAGCTCAATAGCGATAGTCTAGCAGTCTGATGCTCATGGTCCACATCCGGGTCGGGCCCAAGTTTGTTTTTTAACACTCCGAACACTGTTGTTGATTATATTTTGTTCATTTCATCTTGATTGTTTCTCATAAAAGTCCCGTAAGGTATGATTTTAATTTTCTTTTCAAAAATGATTTATCAAAGCTATTCCGTCTTTGCGTAATGCAGAGTTATCTTCTCTTGTGAGCAGGTATTGATTGTTACGTCATTGGTTTGTGTGAGAAAATTACGACGTTTTCTCAAAAATTGATAACGTTACTCTCACAAACAAATGACGTAACAATCAATACCTGCTCACAAGAGAAGATAACTCTGCAATACGCAAAGACGGAATAGTCATGCCGGAAACAACAGTTTCAGACGCTTAGTTATATTGTTTGACAGTGTCACGGGAGTCCGTTTTTTTTGGTTTATTTATCACAAAGACACCATCAGATGTGTCGAAAAGAAGCAAACCTGAACATTGTGTGTTCTTTACCTCGGTCGGCGGAGAAAGGACTTGGTACACTGGACACTGGAGGCCATTGTAGTCGCATGTACCACCCACGGGAATGACGGCGGCGTCAGTAAGGGCAACTGCACACCAAAAAAACGCTAACCACCGGTATGGGGAAAACATACCTGCAAGTGATAATACATTGTAACATCACATTTGCTTCTTGAACATATATTTCAAATTAATAAAAATCGATTACATTCGTCCCTGATTTAAAGGTGAATTTTTATTATTTAATGGTACAATACATATATTTTTCATCCGAATTAAACACATATTTATATTCGTGGTCGTGTCGATGTGTTGTCATAAAAACACCTGCTATGTTTTCCTTCAAATCATGATTAACAATGCCGTGTAGCAAGGCATGCCAAAGATGAATTCTAGCATACTTCTTCTATAGGGGTACATTCTGTGACGATCTCTTGCCTGTAAGCTCATACGGTTAAGAGACAGGTGATTTACACGGGAGGGGAAGTACAGTACGTGTCGCATATGTTTTCAGTGATAAATATTGATGGCAAAGAAGTTCCCATGGTTTAGCAGTTGACAACATTGAAATGTTGTTATTGGAGTTTCCTACAGAAGACGGAATTAATCAGTGTTAAATAGATAAATTAGGGCGTATTTAACGATGTACATGACAGGAATTTGTATAAAAACGAAAATCTGGTATGTAATTGTGACATTTGGGTTTTTTAAGTCCTCAATAGTAACAACATGATGATGAAGGTAGTGAACTTGAACATTTGCCAGACTGACAGCGGTAAAACATATTTTGTCAGTATAACAGATTTATTGTCGTTGTTTCGGACCACTGCGTTCACTCATTCTGTCTACGTACGTTTTACCTATAAAATACACATACGAACATGACCACTGGTGTATGCCTCAAATATAGTATAAATCATAATTTGATTTCAAAGGAGGGGGTCAACATTCGGCCCTCACTTTGATTTGTTTAACTTTTCGACAGATGAGGATACATAAAATGAACAATAACCGCATATATATGATTATTCATTATTAATACTGATAACCGCAGTGGACCTCCTTGCATAACACCAGGTTGAGTGACGGGGGTATCCTAAAAAAATGACGGATAAATGTCGCAGGCGAATGCAATTATGACATGCATTATGATAGTGTATAGTGTATACAAAAACTACTATTACGGTGATACTAAATATGTCATTGGTATACAAGAAGTAAGCAAGATAACCCTAATTCGAAAAAAACCCCATATATTCTGACAACAGAATCGTTTTTATGTAATATTAAAACTGGTAAAATACGTTTTAAGCATGCCAAACATGGCCAAAGCACAATTTTACATAATCATGAAGATTTGATTATCATTGATTATTAGGGTAAATACTGATACATTTTCTGTTTATGTTTCATACAAAATCCCTTCATTATATTATGCATGTTTTTAAGTTATGTGCAGCAGTGATAACTCATAAATATGTATTCCGCAACAGTAGTCTTCCCCTGGAGAACTACTTAAGGATGAGATTGTGTTGTAGACAAAGACATACAAATATTTAAAAACAATTAAATAATCTTAATACTAAAACTAATATACACTTTATTATTATTCAATTTCGTCTTTTGCTCATTCATTAAACAAAATATGACGGAGTTTTACATTATCTTATATCTTTAACTCTAATCAAGTAAAGCAAGGAAAGATATCCTAGGATATCCTTGTCTCTAATCAAGTAAAGCAAGGAAAGATATCCTTGTCTCTAATCAAGTAAAGCAAGGAAAGATATCCTAGGATATCCTTGTCTCTAATCAAGTAAAGCAAGGAATGATATCCTAGGATATCCTTGTCTCTAATCAACTAAAGCAAGGAATGATATCCTTGTCTCTAATCAAGTAAAGCAAGGAATGATATCCTAGGATATCCTTGTCTCTAATCAACTAAAGCAAGGAATGATATCCTTGTCTCTAATCAAGTAAAGCAAGGAATGATATCCTTGTCTCTAATCAAGTAAAGCAAGGAATGATATCCTAGGATATCCTTGTCTCTAATCAACTAAAGCAAGGAATGATATCCTTGTCTCTAATCAAGTAAAGCAAGGAATGATATCCTTGTCTCTAATCAAGTAAAGCAAGGAATGATATCCTAGGATATCCTTGTCTCTAATCAACTAAAGCAAGGAATGATATCCTTGTCTCTAATCAAGTAAAGCAAGGAATGATATCCTTGTCTCTAATCAAGTAAAGCAAGGAATGATATCCTAGGATATCCTTGTCTCTAATCAACTAAAGCAAGGAATGATATCCTTGTCTCTAATCAAGTAAAGCAAGGAATGATATCCTTGTCTCTAATCAAGTAAAGCAAGGAAAGATATCCTAGGATATCCTTGTCTCTAATCAACTAAAGCAAGGAATGATATCCTTGTCTCTAATCAAGTAAAGCAAGGAATGATATCCTTGTCTCTAATCAAGTAAAGCAAGGAAAGATATCCTAGGATATCCTTGTCTCTAATCAACTAAAGCAAGGAATGATATCCTTGTCTCTAATCAAGTAAAGCAAGGAATGATATCCTTGTCTCTAATCAAGTAAAGCAAGGAAAGATATCCTAGGATATCCTTGTCTCTAATCAAGTAAAGCAAGGAATGATATCCTAGGATATCCTTGTCTCTAATCAACTAAAGCAAGGAATGATATCCTTGTCTCTAATCAAGTAAAGCAAGGAATGATATCCTTGTCTCTAATCAAGTAAAGCAAGGAAAGATATCCTAGGATATCCTTGTCTCTAATCAACTAAAGCAAGGAATGATATCCTTGTCTCTAATCAAGTAAAGCAAGGAATGATATCCTTGTCTCTAATCAAGTAAAGCAAGGAAAGATATCCTAGGATATCCTTGTCTCTAATCAACTAAAGCAAGGAATGATATCCTTGTCTCTAATCAAGTAAAGCAAGGAATGATATCCTTGTCTCTAATCAAGTAAAGCAAGGAAAGATATCCTAGGATATCCTTGTCTCTAATCAACTAAAGCAAGGAATGATATCCTTGTCTCTAATCAAGTAAAGCAAGGAATGATATCCTTGTCTCTAATCAAGTAAAGCAAGGAAAGATATCCTAGGATATCCTTGTCTCTAATCAACTAAAGCAAGGAATGATATCCTTGTCTCTAATCAAGTAAAGCAAGGAATGATATCCTTGTCTCTAATCAAGTAAAGCAAGGAAAGATATCCTAGGATATCCTTGTCTCTAATCAACTAAAGCAAGGAATGATATCCTTGTCTCTAATCAAGTAAAGCAAGGAATGATATCCTTGTCTCTAATCAAGTAAAGCAAGGAAAGATATCCTAGGATATCCTTGTCTCTATTCAAGTAAAGCAAGGAATGATATCCTAGGATATCCTTGTCTCTATTCAAGTAAAGCAAGGAATGATATCCTAGGATATCCTTATCTCTATTCAAGTAAAGCAAGGAATGATATCCTTGTCTCTATTCAAGTAAAGCAAGGAATGATATCCTTGTCTCTATTCAAGTAAAGCAAGGAATGATATCCTTGTCTCTAATCAAGTAAAGCAAGGAAAGATATCCTAGGATATCCTTGTCTCTATTCAAGTAAAGCAAGGAATGATATCCTTGTCTCTAATCAAGTAAAGCAAGGAAAGATATCCTTGTCTGCTCCTCATACAAACATTATATTTTAGGCCAGGTCACCAATGATTACCATACTGATATCCATTCACATTAACAACATGCTTTCTAAAAATCACGACCCAAGGACTTTGTGTTGTGAAGAAAACACAATTTATAAGAAAAGTGAAAAGAAAGCTTTGTTTTTCTTTTTTCTTCTTAAATAAAAGTGTTGCATGAAAAATTTACCGGTTGTCATTTTTTTGAAATTTTCTGATGTTGAAAGATAATATTAGTAGGCAACTTTTAAGTATGAAAAATAGACTCGTTTTAGAATTATGTGAATTAACGTGTCCAAAATTGGAATTCTCCAATTAGTAATAATTTCACATACGTTTCTGATTTAATCTTTATTAAAGAACAATTCTTTCTTGTAATAGTGTACTATTCGGTATCAAAATAACATACTGGAATATGTTGCACTCGTTGGTGATATAATTTTATAATAATTGTGCCATGTAAATGCTCTAGGAGAAATTGTATTACCGCACCTTTAACACCCACACAGGTGGAAATCAGTGAGGTCCCATTTCTCATAAAATGAATTCTGAAACTAACTTTTCCTGATTTAAGCTTCCTATACCCATACATTTTTGCATTTATTTTGTTTTAAAACTCCAAGCGTGAGCCGACGCTAATTTTTAATCTAAATAGGCCCTTGATCCTACCTTATTAACTAAATTATTGAAACAAAATTATTCTAATCGTATGATGTAGTTAACTGCGGCATAGACATTTTTAACCGCGGGACTGCATTCTCTAGCGGTCACATATTAAGTGAAATGAAAAATAAAATCCTAAACGAAACAGTAATCTAATTTTCATACCATAACAGAAATAGAACGAAGCAAAATCAAATGATAAAGTGTTCATCGATTATCAGGATTTCTGCTTGCGTTTCTCACTATTTTTAATCTAAAGTCTAATGCTCTAAGTAAGCAGGACAACGACTTAACCTTAAGGCTCCTTTGGAGTTCACATGGTCCATCCCGTTTCTAAAACCTAGTTCCGATTCTGAATGAAAAGTCATTATTCTACGTCGATCACTCATGTATGAGATAATACCATTTCCTCTACATTTTAAAACTTATAATTAGCTCTTGGAATCGAATTTTCTCGGCCATATTGCTCTCATTCTACAAGTTCCCGTGGAACACACGTACACTTGCTAAATCGATAGGAATCTTAATATAAACTTTTATTGTTAAATGGTAACACATTGATACATGAACATCACTGTTCATTGTACATAAATAAGGTCTTAATTCAGGTTCAATGTTTATAAACCTATAAAATAAAGTAGCTTGTTACATGTATATAAAAAATACGTCAGTAAGTTTTTGGAAAATTGGCGTATTTTGAGGGTTCGCAATTTGACACGATTATTCCATTGGTTCCTTTTTAATACAACATAAATGTGTTGAATATTCGCCATTCCTGCACTTTAATAGAGTTATCAGATATCTGGAACAAATAAACACACTCCGCGCTGACAAAGTGATAGCCGGCTAATTGACTGCTGTGCACTTTAAAACTGATTAATTCGTACACGAAGATGAATACCAAATGAAATTTATTGTTGCAAAATTTGTTATCAAATTGGAAACTTCATTTATTTAACAACTAATTCAAAAACTAAATTTCCTTATTGAATTTCGCAATCTTACATCCGCAAGTAATACCACAGATATATTAAATCTGACGTATGAGTTCATTAAGCAGAGAAGCTTATCAAATTTCATCATCCAGGTAAATCAGAGATTGTGTGCAACGCCGAGCTAAAGCGCCAGATATAGTTATGATTCTATCATATTCCTATTTTAATCAAATTTTTAGTTATATGCATGTCATTACATCTTTTAAAAGCAAGATGTTGACAATGCCTACAAAGTGATAAGTTCATTTTACGAAAACAATTTCTTATAAGTTTCTATTTGTCGATTTTTTTCAATGGATAAATGGGATCCGGCTACTTGAGCAATGCTGCATACAATATATCATTGTCACAATACAAATTACGATAATCTACATTGCTTGAAAATTGACTGTGTCGCTATTGTTAATTACAGTTTGTTTGTGATAAAATGTATGAAACATTTAGCATATAAATCAACATATAATTAAGCTGAATCTTGACCATTTTGAAAAACAAATAATCCAGAACAGTTCATATAATATACATGTTTAAATAACATTATTTAGTCCAAGCTTACCGCTCTTTCGTCCTTGTGATATCTTCTGTTGTTATACTGTGTTTGCTGTTAAGCTTATGACAGATACGTAAACACTCACTGATATATACACATTTGGTGACCTTCACCTTCTCACGTATAAAACATATAAACACATGAGTAATGGTATATATTACCGGGGCATGCCGTAAAATAGCATCTAGGATAGTTTAACACTATCAACAGTGTTGCTCCTAGGAGCACTGAGAAGTCGCATGAGGATCAAAACGGTTAAGTATTGATAAGTATAACAGGAGTTCAAAAAGGCGTATGAATGGAACATAATGCCAGCTGAAGAAACAAAACATTTTATCAAAATTGAATTTTATGAGAGGTGTTTTTTTTCAAATGAAAAATGCAATAAGACAAACTGTATTTCTACACTTGTTTCACGTGTGAGAAATATTGTATTCATAAATCTTTCTGATTGGTAAGCATAATATATAAATATTCCTGTTCAGGATTGATGTTCATCTTAATAAACAAACCATTTACATTTAGACCCTTTTTCTAATCACCCAATCTTTAAAAAAATAAATGTTTTAATGATGTACTCCTTTAAAGCAAATTTCAACTGCACTTTTTGTTAGCTTTAGAGAAGTTTTTTGACCTCAGTCATTTAAGTTTTTACTTCATCATCCAGGTTTTACAGAAGCCTTGTCATCAATCTTCGGTTTACGTAAGTGTCATATTTATGTGAATTTGTATACAAGATACATACGTTACACGACGTGAACGCTGAGTGACACGTTGTCTGAAACGTGTGTATCCGGGACTAGCACGTGCACTTACAGTGCCGTTTGTCTAATGTTTCTAACGGCGACAATGTGAAACAATTGTTTTGGGAGATAAAAAGTACTCTCATTTCAAAAAGAGGTTTTTGTTGCAAAAATTGTGTAGTGTTTTCCCCGGTATTTTGACTTACCATGATGTGTTTAGATGTAGGGGAATACTTATGTTAATGACAGTCACCCCCTTGTTGACAAAATCGGCTTTTATGAGTTTTTCAGTAACCGGATATAGTCAGTGGTTTCTTTAGAGTTTGAAAAAGGTTGGACTATTGTAATGTCGATGTACATGACTACGTGTTTGATGAATATTGATGAATATTGAAAGACATTACATTAATAAGGAACCAGGCGCGTAGCGGAGCGAGTGTTAACAAATTCTCTGAAACAATGGTACAAATGTAGGTTTTTGGTTAAAATGTTGATTTTTTGGTCATGTGCATGTAGTTTAGGCGAGGATTTTGGCAATTATATATTGATTTTGTTTGTCATAAAAATGAATTATGATATGACTGTTTGTCTTTTATTCTGAATTTGTATGCATTCATATGTACAAGGGCAACACCTGTTAAAAAGGATATATATATACATGCCAGGCTTTGATGCTAACATTGGTTATTATTCACCTGATAACGTGATGCTAAGGTGGATGCTTTACTGTCTTTGAAACTTTTGAAGTTTACATTTTTTAACAGGTATAATGAATCACTCCTGGTGATCATATGTACATGAAACCACAGGTGAAAATACAGGATTATCTATCATGAAATGGACTCAACCTTTGAAATAACAAGTAACATATATACCTAATTCCAACAGATGGTTTAATCATCTCTCCACGAACAGGGTGATCACCACACCGTGACATTAGAACAATACAATTAGGTAGACAGTCCGACCTGACCTGACCTGACTGGAGACCCTACTAATATATAAACAAAACAGGATTAATCTCCTATTGTTTAGAGTATAAGTAGTGGACTCCTTGTTTGGGCAACTGCACCCTTAGGCATATATAGATATTCAGACTGCTGTTTGCCATAGAAAATCATAGTTCACATGATGGTTGATATTAGAAGAAAATCCCATATGAAAAAGAGGAAAATCTTCAAAAAACCTAAGTCCAGATTATTTTTGGATACAGAAAAAAGGGTGTTGCCCGGGCAACTAGGGCAACACCCCTGGGTCCTCCACTGAGACTGATCAGAACTGTGTTCGGTCCGGCATTACTAGGCCCTAATACTAGTAGCCGTTTTAGACTCGTCGATGCCTAAGTTAATGTCGAAAGAGGATGTTGTTTCGTGTGAACCTACAGCTGCTTGGAAGATGTCATGTATCAACTTGTTTTTCGAAGATGATGCGGGATTTTCGTTGGATTTGCAGCCATGCTTGTTTCCGATGTTGGCAGCTTTCAAAATACTAATAATAAAATCGGCACCAGGTTTCCTAGGTTGGAACTTCCGGATACGTAATGATTGTTGGCTGTCGGTTATCCAGTTAAATCACGGACGTAGATAACAATCTTATTCCGTGGTTAAATTTAATATATTTTTCAATTGAACCACACATCATTTAATCACTTTTCCGAACTACAAAATAAATAAATAAATAAATAAAAATATAATAGTATATTTGAATTTTTGATGTGCATGCAACTGCTTATTTTCTTACGTGGCAGCTACGCGCCTGGTTGGAATTAGGTATATATGTTACTTGTTATTTCAAAGGTGGAGTCCATTTCATGACAGATAATCCTGTATTTTCACCTGTGGTTTCATGTACACATGATCACCAGGAGTGATTTATTATACCTGTTAAAAAATGTAAATTTCAAACATTTCAAAGACAGTAAAGCATCCACCTTGGTATCACGTTATCAGGTGAATAATAACCAATGTTAGCATCAAAGCCTGGCATGTATATATATATCCTTTTTAACAGGTGTTGCCCTTGTACATATGAATGCATACAAATTCAGAATAAAAGACAAACAGTCAAATCATAATTCATTTTTATGACAAACTAAATCTATATTTAATTGCCAAAATCCTCGCTTAAACTACATGCACATGACCAAAAAATCAACATTTTAACCAAAAACCTACATTTGTACCATTGTTTCAGAGAATTTGTTAACACTCGCTCCGCTCGGCCATCATTAAATATAAATACTCTATGTTATAAAATATAAACTGGAATAATACCGCAAACATAGAAAACTATTCTATGCCTTATTCGATCTGTTTGACAATGGAAATAATGTCCGAAAAATTCTAGCTTTCTACGCTTGACAGTGCTTGAACAAGTTTAGTATTACATCTTCAGAAAAAAGAATTCGCCTCGCTCTGCTCGGCAGAGAAATTATAATTGTCACACTCTCAGAAATAATGAAGATCTATATATTGTTTGTTGTCAGAAAGTAGTATACATTGTACATGTACAACCGACATGACAATTATAATTTATTAGTTTGTTTTGAGTCTTCTGAATTTAAAATTTTGGGGAACACCCAAAATCAATTCCTGGGTCCCCCCTGAGTCTGACTGTTGTTACCCGTGATATCGGGACTACAAGCGAGGCCGATATTCGTCTTACTAAAGTGAAGGTGAATATCGATATCCTGTCAAAAAGATGGGAAAAAGCTCACGTGTTCAAGTTCCATACACGTCAACATTTTAACAAGTGATTGTAATGAAATACAACTGAGTCAACAGAGCCGGGTTGTTTTTCCGGAATGGATGTTTTTTTTTGTGTATTTTTTTTTCACCAATTAAAGGTCTTCCGAATAACAATTGTAGATTGATTTGTTGCTAGCATTATTATTATAGGTTTTAGGGCGGATATATGCGCGTATAGGATCCATCTGAGTTTTACATTCACTTCGCCTGCAAATGTAATGTGAAAAAGGCAAAGCCTCAAAAGTCAGAAAAAAGCCACGTACATGTAGTTTTTGCTAATCTGTGACATTATATAGGCCTGCCCTCATTTGTCCCTGTCATGAACTGATAAAGTATGTTTTTCAGAGTAGTCATAGGCCTATTTTCAGTAGCGCTACTGGCTATATATGTATACATTTATCTAAACATCGATATAGGAGCTACTTATGTTCTGAGAAATGTTGATGATATAAAAAGGGTTTGGGGGACACAAGGGCAAACAATCTGAAATTAATCAGTTGATATTGGCTCCGACATTTAAAACATCTAGTTAATTTACATTCATCAGGAAAGAGATATGACGCAACGGATTTTTTCGGGTAATTCCAACATGCCACCGTACCCCCCTAGAATGGCTTCGCGCCTTCGGTGCGACTTTCTGCATGCACATCAAAAAGAGCCCAGCTATGCGCCTGGGCATACGCGAGTACATCAGCATCATTATATGTTGTTTTCTCCTACTTTCAAGAGGAACCCAGCCTAATTCTTCGTACACGATAGTGTGGAGGTGCCTCTACGCAGTTCTGTAATTATTCTTGCATCCTTTAGCTGGACTGACTCTAAGAGTTTTTTTGGATTTTGTGAACAGTTATCCCCAACAACATCTGCATATTCTAGTATTGGTCTAATATATGATGTATGCATTTTGGTTAATGACTGTTTGTCTAGCTTATGATTCATCATCCTTAAAATATTTATTATTTTGTATTCTTTTTAGTATAAATTATAAATGTGGTCTTTCCACTTGGCAATATCACTGAATGTCAAGCCAAGACGTTTATGTGTTCGGCTGACAGTAACAGGTTCATCATAAAAATATACATTTGGGTGATGAGTATGCAGTTTTTTAGAGAATATAACAGACTCTGTTTTATTTGGATTAAATTTAATATCCCATTTATTAGCCCAGAGGTTTATATTACTGAGATCATCTGTTATGCTTTGTGCTAATTCGATTGGATCATCGTCGGATACAGCATGCAGAGAAGTGTCATCAGCAAACAGTTAAATTACATGAGAAACACAGTCAACAATATCATTAATATAAAGTTAAAACAAAAGTGGACCGAGAACCGAGCCCTGTGGTACCCCTGCATCTACAGGCCCAGATGTAGATATATATCTCTCAGTTAACACTCTTTGTTTTCTGTCATCTAAAAAATGTCTAAACCAACAAAGTAATTTCCCTTTGATGCCATATAATTGGAGTGTATGTACCAGTCCATCATGTCATACTCTATCGAATGTCTTGCTTCTGTAACAAAAAATAGCATATTTTAATTCTTTATACTGGTCAAGACATTGTACAATAATATGATATACTAAAAGAAGTTGGACGCAACTTAGAAAATATGATAAATAT